TAATCTTAAGATTGGTAAAATTTTATCAAGCAGTTATTCCAATCAATTTTACAAATAAAATTTGTTAATTAATTAATAAAATCAAAAAAGTTTAACCAAAGGTGCTTTAGAAAAATATACTCTAGTTCCTGTACTCCAATATTTTTAAAATTTAGACGGGCTGTATTATTATTTACTTCAAAAATTAATTTTAGTAATCTTTGAATACAAAGCAAATAAAAGTATTCGAAACCGGTTTTAAAAAGTAAAAAAACCGGGTTATTCGATATTCGAAAAATCAACATTTAGAAAAAACCGACACTGGTAAAGCAGAAAAAACCGGTTTTAAAACCGGTTAAAAAACCGAGGCGATCACCCTAGCATCTATCCGGCTTGTTGTGCGCTTCTTTACTGGTACCTCACGTAGGACTAGAGCACTAACCTACCTGAGGCCACGGTATAACCTAAGCTTCTATTAAAACAACCAAAATCCAAAAGAAATACTTATTAATTACCTACTTCTAATTGTGATAAGAACAAGTTCAAGACGTTCCAAAAGTATTTCTATTCAGTAACCTTAATTCCAAAGTTTAAAAACGTACATATGTATACCATGCAGTGCAAGTATTTCAAAATTTAATGTATTAAAAGTGGGCGGAACTTAATGACCCCATTGCCCAAAAATCAAATAAAAACATTGGAAACATACCAATACATAATCTCGAATATACATAGATACATCATATAAAAATTATCAAAAACAATAACAAGAAAACCAATGTTTTTTAATCCCTGTTTGTGTAATAAATCGAAATTTATTTAAACATTGTCCTTGTTCACCCCATCCATGGTGAACAGTGGGCGGTAACGATTGTGCGCACTAGTGCTAAAATCAACCTAAAATTATTGAAAAGGCAATGGGGGATGATGTTAAACAATCCCAAAGTAAGAAAATAAGAATAATTCGCCGCCAGACATTGTGTACAGTGGAGATATTTATTGTAACAAACTACTGAAGCATTCCAAAGCACTGACCCACTCACAGTGAGACATTAAGGGACTATGCAAAGGAGTAAGTGAGAGAGAGAGAAAGAGTAATAGAACTCATCAATGCGTTCCGATAGTTTTTCATCATATGCTACTGGTTGTTAGTGGTGGGTTGAGATGGAGATCTAATTTTAGTGGGTGATGAGGGTGGTTGTTTTTACTAGCTTTTTATACAAACATCAACGTCTGTTGATAGGTTACAATGCTTCAATCTTTTGATGTTGTTGTTGTTTTTTGTCGGAATTCAAACTCAATTTTTCAAATACTGCGTCAGGTGTCTCAACGTTACGCAATTCTTTGATTTAAGTCATTCAGTACTTTGCCACGCGCGCAACAATAAGGATTAAAAGTTGAAAGTTGACGGTAGTGAAATTTGATTAAATATTTTCAAAATAATTTTGATAAAATATATGTATAAAAATAGAAAAAATAAAAAAATATTGAAAATTTGAAGAAAAAATATTTCTGTAGTAAATGAATTTAAATAACGAATTAAATTGGAAATATTTTAAAGTGTTAAAAATAATTAACAAAATCAATCACTTAAATACAAACACAAATATATTATAAATAATTGGGTAATGAATGCATTAATGCTGTAAAAATTTTAAAAATTATGTTTAAAAGATAAAAAATAAGATTCTACAATTTTCTTAAAGTCTTTAAAAATATATATTTTTTTTTTAAACTTGGTTAATTAAAATTTTCGTCAACATTTTATACAATTGTGCACTTTTGATAAAATTTGAATGTTTTGAAATTAGAATCCCAATATTAAGACAAAAAAGTGGTTAATATTCCCAAATTATTTGAGATGTTAAATATTTTGCATTAAGAATTGAAAATTAGAATCGGTTCAAAATTTCATATAATTTCGATGTTAATACTTCCTCCAGAATATCAGTATTAATAAAAAATTTTGCATATATTAATGGAATCCGACTAAAACCTGGATCGGTTCATAATTTTCATAGGTCTTATATAATAAATAGACAATTTAACACGAATATGTTTTGTTCCTATATTTGCCCATATTTGGTCATAGCTCCCATAAAAAGTCCACTTTCGAAAATCAATTAATCGTAAATAACTCATTACTAAATAATGATATAACGATATTTTAGTCCTCGTGACTATACACTTGCGTTTCAAATAAGTATTCATATTCATAAATTTTACAGTAGTTACGAATACTGACCGTCTGTGCCTTTAGACTTACTGCCTTATTCATAAACATTTATCAAAGGTTTATAGAACAAATTTTGTATGAAAATTTGATTTATAAACCTTCGATAAAAGTAAAAAGATAAAGAAATATTTAAAAACAAGTTAGAGTGCTATATTCTTAAATCTTAAATACCGTCCACAAGCAAGCTACTTTTTATTAAAACCCATTTAATTATCTAGATTTTAGATAACTCGGCTATCATTTAGTAATTTCTTTATGCTTATTTTGATTAGGTCGATAAAGATATATATTAAGTGACCTATTAAGAGCTGATCTTGTATATTTCTGTCGAGTTTTACTCCGATGTCGACATTTTTAATAAATTATATTCGTTTAAGTATTTTTCGAAACGATGTTGATGACCTTATATGGGAGCTACGACCAACAATGGGCCAATTGGAAAACATTTCAGCAGGATGATTTATCTACACACAGAAATTGCTGATGTCGAATTTTATTCGGATATAATCATTTAATAATGAGTTATGTATTATTAAGTGATTTTCAGAATTGATCCTTTTATAAGAGCAATGACCAATCACGGGCCTATCCGTAAACATATTCATGCCGAATTTTGTCTCGATTTTCAAAAGTGGACCTTAAAAAATTAAATAGTAGAGTAATTGATCTATGCACAAAACATATTTTATTTCGATAGCTTTATTTATCAATAAAATATACTCTTTTACGTGATTTTCGAAAGTGGACCTTATATGAGAGCTATGACCAATTGTGAACGGATTCGGAAAAATTTTTGCTAAATGATTTATACACATACAAAACCTAATCATGTCGAATTTTACCCCGATAGATTTATTAGTTAACGTAAGTGGACCTTATATGGGAACTATGATCAATTATGGACCGATACAAATCTATATTGGTAGTATAATTTCTGTTCATATTATATTTATATATTCAAAATTTTAAGTTGTTACCGATATACATATTAGAAGAAGTTATTAACGATAAATCCATTTCCGAAAATATGTATCATTGTATGGGAGCTATTTTGGATCGATTTGTTTGATTTTATGATCAAAATCATTGATTCCTGAGTAAAAAAATAACGTGTGACAAAATTTATCGAATTATATTTTGTAGTTTCTGAAAAACTACCAAACTGCTTAAGATAACAATTAATATTTTTGGTGAATTTTGTTGATTTCTTTTGCTTAGTTTTAACGTGAGCAGACAGACAGACAGACGGACATAGCTAAATCGACTCAGAATTTGATAAAGAGCCTGAATATATGTTTGAGTTTTTATATTCGTTTGTAAGTGTAAAACTTATTGGCGGTATAGTCATAAACGGAAAATCCTTCAGACGACAGTTTCGAAATTTTAACAATTTTTTTTTAAAAATTACAGGAAACGCATAAAGTTTTAGTAAAATCGAACAATGTTAACCCATAAACTGTTAAGTTCAAACTTAAGCATAGTGAAATATTATCTTGTTTTCAACCGATTTATACAAAAACTTATGTAATGAAAAACCGTTATTATGATGACATCGAAAAAATCGTAATTAACCCTTGAACGTAAATATATATTTAAAAACGAACAATTTTTAATCGTTGATATCTAAAAAACTAATTGTCCAATCAAAATATTATTTTGTATTTGAGTAAATAGATTTTTAATTATCAATTTGGTTTCGAAAAAAAGCCTTCACACAGAGGGAAAAACCGGTAGAAAAGTACCGAAATTGATACAATCCGTTGTCAAAAATAAGCTTACCATGTTTGTTAACATTTAGAAAACGGATGTGTATAACACTTAGTTATCATCAAATAACACTCAGTTATCATTTTAACAACCACCATTGTAATTTTGGCGATTACACTTTGTGTCATTTTGGCAATGCATCGTTGTGATTTCGACAACGCAACGTTCTGTTTATGTTGTCATTTCGGTAACACACTATTATTTTTTTTGTTGATTTGGGAACGTCGTACATTTTTTATATTGTTGTTGTTGACAACGGATGTTATTGAAAAATTATAAGCTCTTTGGTGTAAATTTGGTACCAGGCGTGTAAAATTTCGAATGTGGTTTGTAAATATACAAATCATTCTATGATTATTTTTTTTTTTTTGGATCTGCACGAACTAATAAGGTAATAGATCCCATATAAAGCCCCCATCTGAAAATCACATAATCGTAAATAACGCATAAATAGTAATAATGATATCCGGATAAAATTGTACCTACGCGAATAAGTTTTATATACAAATCATTCAGCAACACTTTTCCCAACTCGATCAATTAATTGTTTATTATTGTAGTAAATGATATAGATCATTTACTACAATGACACGTTCCAAAATTCTGAGTTTTTGAACTGAGGTATATAAAACATGAATAAATAAAGTCTTTCATAAAAATTTGCTAATTTCAAATATGTATGTATATTATTTTCGGAGTGGGTTCGATTTTTTCTTTTAAACGTAAAAACTAGAACATTTGTTTTCACGAAAATACGATAAATAAAAATTAAATGTCAATTTAGATTTGATACATATTAAGATATTCTATTTAAAATTAGTTAAATTTATCAATCCCCTTTTTTAAAAGTTATAAGTAAAATGTCATTAAACATTCAAAGCCATTTTTCTCGAAACGACCTTTTCTGGATTCTGCCAGCCTTGTAGTAAATAAGCGATATATTCAAAAATTTCATAAACCACCACAACACAACTTAATAAAAAAACGAATTTTCAACTAATTACAGTAAATATTGAAAATGATGAGTGAACATTATTTGGAATGTCGTACATTACCAACAATAAACGAGACATTTCCACAATTTAGTACAAGACCACCACAGCAGCAACAACAATCTCATCAGCCAGTAACAAACACATCGACAACAGCAACGTCTGTCACAGGAGGAATATCTAGAAATAATTTAATACTTTCACCACTAGATTTATCACTACGAGCTGGAGTTAATATTGTACCCATTACCCCACCCTCAACACCTTCACCACCCAGAAAACGTACAAGATTTATGTCAGACGAACATTTTTTGTGGCGTCCGCATGTCATGGGAACAACGGTAGCCGGTGAACCAACCAACTCAACAACGGAGCAACACAACTTTTTACACACCATGACCTATACAAGACGTGATGAATTAAACTCATCATATGGTTTGAATGAGGAGTCATACAACACGGCCGCCACAACACAAAGTTTCAATATTGACAATAATAAAGAAATAATCAACAATTTTGGAGAAATAACAAAGAGTCAACGAAGTGGAAGTACTTCAACAATAGAAGAGTATCAACGACATAACCATCAGCACTCACGCCAACATCAGCCGCTGCAACTACAGCAACATCATCAACACCGTAGAGATATGGCAACAATTTATGTGGACGATGAAACAATTGTATTGACCGAAGATGAAGATGAAGAAGACGATGAGGAAGAAGATGGCGAGAATGAAGAGGATGAGGAAACACTTTTGAGTTCTCAAGAACTAAATGAAGACGATGAAACTAATGAGCCACCACATAAATCATCACAAAGTCCCCAAAGCTCAAGGCACGAAAACCTTAATTCACAAACACAAGACAACAGTAATGCAGATCCTGATGAGGAAGAAGAATATGTTGACATACTAGGTAATGATGATGAGGATGACATAAATCCTTTGTCTGCCCGAGCCATCACAATGTTACGTTTACAAAGTCAAGCGGATTTAGAACAAGAACTGGAAAAGGATGGCAATGTATTGACACGCAATAAGTTGATCTATGAAAATGAAGAATTACATAATCGTGCTGTAGATGGTTTGGCCAAGTTATTCGATAAAGATTTTCAAAGACGTCAAGAGGAAAATCAGGAAAAATTAGACAAAGGCAAGACATACATAGATTTAACTAATTATCAAAAGAACAATATTAATTCACCCCATCAGCAAGATAAGGAACAACAGCAACAATTTATGATTTCCTCACAACTACCATCCACCTCAAGACCCTATAAGACTCACAAAACCGAACGTAAACGTATGAAACTACGCAAACACATGTCATTGGATGAGGAAACTATTAGTCCGGTTTCTGGCACTATTATACGTAAATTGCGTGATGATGAAGAGTTGGTGGTGCGTAAAGGTGACATTGATCCTGCTTTTAATGTCGTTGAGGTTACGGAGGAAGCTAAAGCTATATTGGCTAGTATTGATAATAAGATTGGAGCTTATTTGTGTCAACTATGTCGCACCTTGTACGATGATGCCTTTAAGTTGGCTCAACATCGTTGTCCTCGTATTGTTCATATTGAGTACAAGTGTTCGGAGTGTGAAAAGGTAAGTTATGAAATACTTAATCTGAAATATTAGAACAAATAGTGAGGGAGATATTCTTCCTAGGCCCTTAACAGAAGGTTCTTTGAAAGTTAAGTTTGTTGTCAAATGAAATCTCCTATTTACTTCCGTAGTAACTAAGGATTGATTATTCTTTTAAAAAACTTTTAGAAATTGTAACTCGTGTAACTCAAAATTTCAACGTTCTTTTCGAAATTGTCTGATATCTGATCAAAATTCTGGAAGACATATCGAAGAGATGATATGACATTTATTCAACATTAAATTTGAAAAGTACTTCAGAATTTCCCTAGGAAATTACTTAAGATTTCGAAGGAATTATGACCTACAAATCTGAAAAGTTTTCTGATTTTTTCAGACAAAGAGTTACGACTTCTTATAGTGTTACATCTATATGATCGAAATAAACAATTATTTCACCGGATTGTCGTTTAAGCTGCTAGAGCAATTGGACTAGTCTGATTTTCATTTAATTAACATTTGAAAATTTACCGATTGCGGTTTTTTTATTTACCGACCAGATTTTAATTTTTAATTTATTTCTACTCATTTTAGGTTTTTAATTGTCCAGCAAACTTGGCCTCACATCGTCGCTGGCATAAACCCAAATCCGAAATTTTAGCCAACAGTCAATCCAAAAAGAGAACACATGCCGAACGTAACTCTCAAACGGGATCCAACAGCTCCGATAAAATTGATGATGGAGTTGATGGCATCTTTCCTTGCAATCAATGTGGCAAAACTTTCCGACGGTAATTTTTTTTACACATAAACATATTCCAACAAATTTGTTATTATGAAAATTTTCATTTGCAGACATGCCTATCTCAAAAAACATCAGGCTTCACATCAAATGTTAGAGAATCTCAAATCCCTGGATATATTTAAAAATTCCACTGCAACCTCAACAACATTCCAGCCTACTAATCCACATTTGAGTAGTTCATCGCTACCAACGGCTCAGAGAATACAACCAAATCCTCTATATCCCTCACTACAACATCCACGACCTTATCCGGCACGTTTCGCAGGTTTTCCCTTTCCCACGCCATTCGATCATCGACGTTTCTATACTTTAGGGGAATTTTATCTCTCACAACAATTAGAACGTTCTTCAGCTTTCCAGTATGTACAGGCCAATCATTTGCGTAATTTAACTAATGTAGCTGGAAATTTTATTAACAGACCAGTGGTGCCTTCACCTATTATACCGCTGCCGGTAAAATGACAAAATATTCTGCGTCCTGTACCGAGAATAGCTTTAACATCAACGGTAACAGCGACTACCTCTATAAGCCAGGAAATTACCACGAATAATGCTGCAGCAGCAACGCCATCGGTATTGCCTCTTTCTAGTCCCCCAACTAGTAACAACAATACAAATTTACCACCCATCTCCACATTTAATTGGCTGCCAAATGCTCCTAATAACCTAACTAGTCATACATCTACGAATTCAAGTTCTCGTTCCGATTTGGAAGATATTTAGATAAGATGCAAATTATTAAAGAACTAATATTTCGAAATCATTCTGTAGTTAAGAATTATTTATTAAAAAAATATTATTGTTAGTTAAATATTAAAATCAAATTTACATTTAAATTTAAATAAATTACATTCTGTTAAACTTATCGTTAATTCTTTGATTTCGCTTGTGTACGAAATATGCCCATTTTCAGGTAATACGAAATAATATGAGCCATATAGGTTTCTTCATGAACGCCATGAAAGAGATACGATTGAGGACCAATGGCATAGAGGAAAATGTCATTGGGGGCTTCAGCGGTATGGTTTAAATCCAGAAAAGCAGTAAGTACTATGGTGTTGTTTGGGGTGAAACTGGCAATGCGAATTAGAAATGAGTTAAATTTTTGGGTATAGTGTAGTCTATAGTCTAGTCTATAGTGTCTATAGTGTAGTCTATAGTGTAGTCTATAGTCTAGTCTATAGTCTAGTCTATAGTCTAGTCTATAGTCTAGTCTATAGTCTAGTCTATAGTCTAGTCTATAGTCTAGTCTATAGTCTAGTCTATAGTCTAGTCTATAGTCTAGTCTATAGTCTAGTCTATAGTCTAGTCTATAGTCTAGTCTATAGTCTAGTCTATAGTCTAGTCTATAGTCTAGTCTATAGTCTAGTCTATAGTCTAGTCTATAGTCTAGTCTATAGTCTAGTCTATAGTCTAGTCTATAGTCCAGTCTATAGTCTAGTCTATAGTATAGTCTATAGTCTAGTCTATAGTCTAGTCTATAGTCTAGTCTATAGTCTAGTCTATAGTGTAGCCTATAGTCTAGTCTATAGTCTAGTCTATAGTCTAGTCCATAGTGTTGTCTATAGTGTAGTCCATAGTCTAGTCTTAGTCTAGTCTAGTCCTAGTCTTAGTCTATAGTTAGTCTATAGTCTAGTCTATAGTCTAGTCTATAGTCTAGTCTATAGTCTAGTCTATAGTCTAGTCTATAGTCTAGTCTATAGTCTAGTCTATAGTCTAGTCTATAGTCTAGTCTATAGTCTAGTCTATAGTCTAGTCTATAGTCTAGTCTATAGTCTAGTCTATAGTCTAGTCTATAGTCTAGTCTATAGTCTAGTCTATAGTCTAGTCTATAGTCTAGTCTATAGTCTAGTCTATAGTCTAGTCTATAGTCTAGTCTATAGTCTAGTCTATAGTCTAGTCTATAGTCTAGTCTATAGTCTAGTCTATAGTCTAGTCTATAGTCTAGTCTATAGTCTAGTCTATAGTCTAGTCTATAGTCTAGTCTATAGTCTAGTCTATAGTCTAGTCTATAGTCTAGTCTATAGTCTAGTCTATAGTCTAGTCTATAGTCTAGTCTATAGTCTAGTCTATAGTCTAGTCTATAGTCTAGTCTATAGTCTAGTCTATAGTCTAGTCTATAGTCTAGTCTATAGTCTAGTCTATAGTCTAGTCTATAGTCTAGTCTATAGTCTAGTCTATAGTCTAGTCTATAGTCTAGTCTATAGTCTAGTCTATAGTCTAGTCTATAGTCTAGTCTATAGTCTAGTCTATAGTCTAGTCTATAGTCTAGTCTATAGTCTAGTCTATAGTCTAGTCTATAGTCTAGTCTATAGTCTAGTCTATAGTCTAGTCTATAGTCTAGTCTATAGTCTAGTCTATAGTCTAGTCTATAGTCTAGTCTATAGTCTAGTCTATAGTCTAGTCTATAGTCTAGTCTATAGTCTAGTCTATAGTCTAGTCTATAGTCTAGTCTATAGTCTAGTCTATAGTCTAGTCTATAGTCTAGTCTATAGTCTAGTCTATAGTCTAGTCTATAGTCTAGTCTATAGTCTAGTCTATAGTCTAGTCTATAGTCTAGTCTATAGTCTAGTCTATAGTCTAGTCTATAGTCTAGTCTATAGTCTAGTCTATAGTCTAGTCTATAGTCTAGTCTATAGTCTAGTCTATAGTCTAGTCTATAGTCTAGTCTATAGTCTAGTCTATAGTCTAGTCTATAGTCTAGTCTATAGTCTAGTCTATAGTCTAGTCTATAGTCTAGTCTATAGTCTAGTCTATAGTCTAGTCTATAGTCTAGTCTATAGTCTAGTCTATAGTCTAGTCTATAGTCTAGTCTATAGTCTAGTCTATAGTCTAGTCTATAGTCTAGTCTATAGTCTAGTCTATAGTCTAGTCTATAGTCTAGTCTATAGTCTAGTCTATAGTCCACAGTGGGGCAGAATGGAAATTTTTTGGAAATAAATCTGGCATTTCTAAACGGCTGATCCGATCGGGATAAAATTTGGCGTGAGCGTAGCCAAGGAGTATTCGAGTTTAAGTTTTGAAGATGAACCCTGCAGATGCCCCAGGGACGGCGCTGTGGCGGCTCAAAGTAGGGTACCTACGACATGTAAAATTTTTAAACTCGTGCCATTTTTTTGTTTTTCACCCAAATACAAAGATTTTTATATTTTGTGAAAGCGCTCGACGAGATCTTGAAAAAACATGCTTGGACATACTACTTATCTCTTATAATATCCGAGTTATAGGCATTTAAAAATTTAGTGATACAAAATTTACCATACCTTGGTCCGCCTTTTTTTGAATACCGGGCGTAATTTTGGACCAAATGGACTCAATTTTTTCTTGTTAGTTAGACAACAAAATTTCCAATAATATACAAAAAATTTCAGATCAATATCGTTTACAGATCCAAAAATATAAGTTTTTTAATTTAAAAATTCAAAAAATTTCAGATTTTTGGCGTTTTTTTTGCCAAAAATGTGTCTTAACTCTTTTATTAATAAAATAAAATTTTTATTAAGAACATATAACAATTTTATAGTTATCTAAAAGGTATCTTTACGCAGAACGCTTTGGCGTAAAAAACTTGTCCTATTTTTTGAAAATGTTGCCACTGCGTCCTTCCGAATATGACCTATTTTTTATCAAAACTTCAACTTTGGGCGACATGTTCTAAAATCCCAAAGCTGGGATCAGAAAACTGAAAGCAGTTTTGGAAACCTCAATATGTTTTCTATTTACTCCAAAAGTATTTTCCCAGCCCTGAAAGAAATGTGGACCCTATGGGCAAAAAAGTAAAAAATCCCATTTTTGGGATTTTCATTCCTATTTTTGGGAATTGCGGGATGCCCTTTGACCTTTTCATTTTTTTTTTTGCATATTCTTATTTGAAATGACAAATTTAACAAGCGTTGAAAATTTCATTGAGTTTTGTTCATAAATAAAGATTTTGTCATATATTACATATTTGTTTAATTTCTCAAACTATGATTTATATCAAAATTTTAATAGGATCGCAGATAGCTACAAAAATTTAGTCCATATTTATCCTTTAATATCATTTTTTAGTTAGATATGGAAATTCTCGACCCTTTACAAAAAATTTCAAGCCAATATCTCAATTACATTCAAAAATATGTTCATTTAAACCTGTGTCCTTTAATTTCATCTTTTTCATATTTTAGTATTAAGTATGACAGAACATACATTTGGTGTTGAATAAAATATTTGGACAATTTTTAAAAATTATGTAGTTAATTATTTTATTATAATATTGTATATAAAATAAAAAAAATTATAATTTTATTATGAGCCACGCACTCGCATAGTTGAAAGAACAGGATCAGAAGATAGAAGTAAACTATTAAAAATATCTTCATTCTGTGATTGCCTGGAGCATTTTCTTGAGCTGAATAGTTGAACATGCTTAAAATCTCGATTCCTCGCTTTCTGGGCTTCTTCTGTTAACTCTCCAAGTGGAAGAATATTCGATTCAATTATTATTTGACCATGACACAATACTTTGTGTACTGTTGGTGTTAGTTCCCTCCATGGATACAGAGATACAAGTAATTTAGAAATTTCAGATGTGTATTCCCCAAATCGATTTTCATTAATTTTATGTTTACTATTCAGTGCCATTAAAATAGTTTTAACTCTTCGAAGCAACTCCTTGTCGATTCCAGTTATTTTTGAAGTAATTTCAAAATCACGAAAAAACCTTCTCGACGTATTACCGTCATTTGTACTACCGCAACTTGAAAGTGGTTTGTCGATGTTTAATCCCATCTGAACTTTAAATTCTTCTTGGATTCTGCTTTTTTCCGCAGCTCTCAGTTCTTTCAATTCTTCATTATTTTTTGTTGATTTAGTAGGATAATTTGTTTTTTTTTTCCTGGATCGCCTTGTATGATGGTAATATATTGTGTCCTTTTTCATGCAGAGCTTTGGTACTTATTTCGACTGAGACCCAGTTCCAACATAAGCGCTATTGCTTCCTCTTCAGTAAAATTTGATTATGATGTTGGAGTTGGTATACTTTCCACAATTCGCTTAAGTCGTTTTGGTGATGCATTAGGAAGAATAGTTGCAATATGTACGACATCCATATGTTGGTTTTCCTTTTTCAGCATTTCGTTAAATGTATCAGCAATTTCCTCATTTGAGATTGAAAAAAGTTTTTGTGTGACCCTCTTTTTTTTTACCTTGAACATAAATCTTCGTATGACTTGCAAGGCGCTCCTATTGATGTGTTGTAAGTTGAGATTTCCGTAGTAGTTTCCATCCAACTACAAAATTTTAATCGAAATTTCTTTTGATTTCCATCCACAGACTTACTTTTTACATCAAAAAGTTTTAAAAAGTTTTCAATTTTTGATATGCCTGTTTTGTCTACTTTTCTACTATATGTCGTTTTTATATAATTTGAAATGTCTTCAATTCTTTCTGGCCCTTTTGAAGATATACTCCATAAAACGGAACACAACTCTTCGTACTTCAATGTAATCTTCATTGTAGATTTATTAAATATGGTACTTAAAATCTGAGAAGTTTACTTATATACCAATTCTTATCATTTCCGATACAGGTATTCCAAAGTAAAAATTACGAATTGTCTACCTATTAACATTTAGGACTATATTACTATAACCTGTAATTCAGTCATTGATATTTCTTATTAGTGAATGAATCGAAATTATCATTACCTGTATATTTTTACCTACATGATCATAAACGAAAC